CTGAGCTCGCGCCCAGTCAGTTCCACCATTCGGTTGCTGCTATAGCAACAAAATAATGGTTGTAAAGAGAAAGATCTTCTCTAATTCACGAAATTGATTAGTTTCCGGAATCTTGATAAAGCAAGAAGTTATGATTTTTTGAAAATGTGCGACAGAACTTTCACTTCAATCTAATACAATAAAAACATATCAGCTTTGCAATTTCATGATGGTCTTCTTCACTTAATGCTACTAGTCTTCCCTGTTTGAGATTTCATCAGAGGTTTTAAGAATATGTAAGCATCTGTTTGTAAATGCCAAAAATTTCAGTATTAATATGACTAACGATGTCATGACTTCTTTCCTGATCTCCTTTTGGAATTTTTGGGATAGGCTAAAAGTAAAAATAAGTTTTACCTGCGAAGTTTATCGCTACCTGTCAACGACAATCCAGGCTGATGTTTTCCACGGTAAAGGCAGATCGATTTCCCGTTAAATTGGAGTACATGAGAAATTACCGATTGCCAATTTCTGAGGAAGACAACGACCGGTTAGGTTTTGGCGACCCGGCAGGTATTTGATAAATTTACAACTGCTGTTAGATAGACTTAGAACGCTTTTTTAGGCATACCCACTTGGAAAGCACTACGTCGAACTTCAGCAGCTCCAATGTTTTTTCCTCCGGACGATGTGTACATAGACGGCGGTATAATAGCTAACAACCCTTTACTGGATTTACTTTCGGAAGTAGAGCTATTCAACGGCACAAACTCATATTTGGTGTGGACTAGAGGCTTACTACATATACTCATATGCATTGTAGAACATCGTTACAGAGCCATCCCGAAAAAAATGTTGAAGTTGGTTGTGTACTGTCTTTTGGCACTGGCCAAATTCCTTCAACACGACTTGATCCTTTGCACATCGGAATCACTAATCCAATTTCGAGTGCCCTCAACTTTAAAAATCTCAGTCTCGTGATTGTTGATCAGGTAAATATCAGACTATAAACCGCCATCAGTTTGTCATCTTGTTCAGGTAGCAGCAAGCGAAGGAGCACCGGTCGATCGTTCTTATTCGTGGTGCAACGCCTTGCGAATACCATTTTTCCGATTTAGCGCACCTTTACGCAAGGTGTGTTGCTTTATATGCCAACCTAGATCCTCGTTTTACAGTTGGAGTTAAACTTCGAAGGATATTTAGAAATGTAAGATGAATAAAAACAGGAGCGCTGGAAGGCTGAAAATCAAACTAACTTCATGTGGTTATGATTATCAAGATAACGCAAAAGTTCTGTGGCACCGCTTTCAGAAAACTTTGTGAAAGTACATCATTTATTTTTTCGTCTTGAAATAGGTTTCAAAACTTACCAGAAATGTCTCGTGTTGCTGCTGCTCATGGATTCAGCATTCCTGAGATGTACCTGCCTGCATACACTGCAGCCCTTGATTCTACGCCATCATGCGTCAATGCTGTAGGCTATCCTTGCGTGTCCACCAATACACTCGTTCTACTCAGGCAGTAATGCAATATTGCGAGCATCCACTTCCTCAACGATTTCTTTCAATAGTGAATAAAAATTTTGGATTGACGACCATCTGCGCTTTAGATTTATGTGCTTGACGTCGCTTGGGTCAATGTTATAATGAGGAAAAGGCCGGTAGCCTCAGATGTCATCAGAATACCTACGGCTTAAGAAAAACGCTGGCGAACCTCGGGCCTAGACGCGCTGAATAATTCGTTTTAGGGCCAGTCCCCGGTCCTGATAGAGTTTTTGCATCGTGCAAGCCCCTGTCCTTAGCAAATACCGTCCCTTAACGGTGAAGCTGGTCTTAGTGGACCACATGCATATCACGGCGAGTAAGCCCCGTTTCTAAGCCACTCCGGCAAAATGATTCTGGTGAGCCGGGCTTTGCTATAAGTGGAAAGCTCACCCGCGTGCTGAGATATGCCGTGGAGCTGCCCACAATGTTTACGTCTTTAGTTATCGGGTTTCGGCTATCTCTTCGGAGAACACCAAGAGTACCAGGGACTGAGTCCTAGCTATAATTATCACAACTAAATGCCTATAATTGTCGACTTTGTATTCACATAAAAATGCAACAACATGAAACTATTTATGAAGAAGAGACCTCCACCAATATAGTTAGAGGGAAGGAATTGTAGGGCGTTAGGCGACCAAAAATCCAATTTCTTGTACCCCAAAAAACTCTCTGTGCAAA